ATGCAAAGAATAACCATGTAATAGTGCAATTTTCACAGTTATTTTATATAGATGTTTACATTTACACTTACTCAACATCTCAAGAGTACTCACAAAACAAAATATGGAGAAAAACTGACTAATAATAAAAAAACAAATGAAAACAGAAAAGTACAAAGTGAGAGAGAGGGAGGGCTGGATCGCAAAGGTAATGGGCTTCAGCAGGATATGTAATTGACTGACCCAAATTGGTGGTCAGTCAACCAGCTAAAACAACTCTAGAAAAAAGAGCACAATTCTTGAAGCAAAAAATCAATGGCAAAAAAATCGACTTACCCAAAATCTTTTCAGGCGACATACGTATAGCTAAAGTGTATATATTTATCTTTTATTCTGCAAATTATTCCTAACATTTTCTCTATGGAATGTTGGTTGCTCTATTTTATGATTTTATAATTTCTAGAGATAAACACATGTCAAGTTTCACAAAGGTTTAGCTATGGGCCTCTCTCTGATGTGATTGATCTTTCGCAGCATGGTATTTGTAGTCTTTTCTGCAGACATTGTAATTCTTTTGAAATACCAATATTCTTCTATATGTTTATCTTCTATTCTGCAAATTATTCCTAACATTTTCTATATCAAACGTTTGGTTGATCTTTTCTTTTATGATTTTATAATTTTCTAGAAATAAGCACATGTCAAGTTTCACAAAGTTTTGGATATTGTTCACGAAAATCCCGACGAAATATTACTAAAAGTTCACTTCAGTTTCACTTATTTCACACGTCTCATATTTATTTCAGCAGAGTTTTACACATCTTTACTTTTTATTAAGGAAAGGGCCACTCTTCCATTTGTTTAGATAGTGAGTAAAAATTTACTAATTAACTATTCTAGCAACAAATTGAACATAACCCAAATGATTAGGTTTTTTATTGTGGAACTAGAGCACCCGGATTTAAGTTCTACAGTTGGCAAGGGTGGTTGTATTTTTCTAGATTTATTCTAAATTTTTCAGCGATGTTCACTCTGTGGGAGGTAACATTCCTGACAACTAGAAGGCGTTGTGGTGATTTCGTCAATCTCAAATAGGGGTCAATGTATGTGAGCGTTTGTGTTTGCATTGTGTTTCTAAAAAACAATCCAGCCAAATATAACCAAACTTTTAAATAGGGGTCGTCTTGATGGCGTGCTCCTCTCTTTGAATCAGCAACGTGAGCGGCTGCCTGCATTGTGCATTGTTTCCCCAATGATGGCGAGGCCGAGCTCTATGGGAAGAGAATTGGTGGCGGTGAGATTAGCGATGTGAGTGGAATGGGGGGAGGAAGGGAGCGCGGTGGCTACGAGTGAACGAAGGGGGTGGGGGGCGACGAGGAGTGGTGGCTAGGGTTCTCTCCGGATCAAACAAAGTGAGGAGTCGGAAGTAGTGAAGTACACTGCCTCCTCGTTCCTATCTGCCCCCCAGTCATGCATCCACGCCACACTATGCACACACCCAGCACGCAGACCTCCGTCCATGCCCTCGGCAGGCGCCACAACCGCATATTTCTACCACACACCATCGACTTCGTACCCCACATGCCAGTGAGACAACATAGCAGATCGAAGGTGAGAAAACTAAATTATTGTGCATCGTTTCAATCTCGGTTCAAGGTAACGCCTCAGACCAATCGTGCCCTAGATCCAATGGTTGTCACTCGTTTGGAAAGACAATCCGACGGCCCATAATCCCTGAGCTCATAGCCTGCCCCGCTCCTAGGGTTCCCACGTCGCCGCCGGCGGCTCCCTCGCGTGGAGCCCGCCGTCGTCGCCAGCCCTTCCCCGCTCCCCTACCCCTCACCCTCCCATCCCTTCCCAATACCCCTGCGTCGCCTCCCCGAGCAAGGCGACCGGGGGCCTCTTCCCTGCGCCACTCCAGCACTCCCACCTCACCCCTCCCTCCTCCCGCCGCCGCCAGCGAGCGTCGCCGGGCCTCGGCCGCGTGGTGCTGGCGGCGGCGGGCCTGCCTTTCCGCGCGCGGCACCCCCCCTGCTCGGCGGCGACGTTCCCTGGTGATGGCGTGGTGGCAGCGGTCTCGGGCAGTGAGGACTTCGTTGGTCGGCGAGCTGCAGCGTAGTGATAGGACTGTCCGGGTCAAAGTGGGCCCGGTCGGGCCACCGAGGCCCGGCAAGTCCTCTTCGCCGCGTCCGGTCGGCTCCGCTGCGGCGGTGGAGGCTGTACCCTCCCTTAGGCCGAGTTGTGATCGCTCCCGTGGCCGGTGTCTCCTTTCCCTCTCCAAGTCTCGTGTTGACAGCTCCGATGAGACGGCGAGGGTTGTCCGGTAATCGTGATGGCACAAGTTGGTGGGTGGCTGAGGGGGTGGTGCATTTCGAAATGCCTAGGGTGGTGGTTGAGGATCGGGAGAAACCCCTGTCGGCCAGTCCGGCACAGATGCGATGGCGCTTGCGAGCATCGTCGGACCTTCATGAGGGGCGTCGGGTATATCCCTTCCCCACTATCCCTCGTGTACGAGGGGAAACCCTAGAACTTGTTCAGGCAACGGCGGTGGCATCGTCGCATTCCTTCCTGAAGGTGTTGCTTTGTGCGCGGCGCTTCGGTATGCTTGGAGCATGGTGGTACTCCTTCGGAGGGTGCAACGTTTGCCGGTCTTCCTTTCTTCATTGATCTGCCGGTGTCGGCATTTATTTCTCTTTCTTTTCTTGTTTTCTCTTTTGGCCTTATCTGTGTTGCGCCCCAACGAGCTGGATGTATCAGGTGTTTGCTTTATAATATAAAACGGGGAAACCCTCTTTTGTTCATCCCTGAGCTGTCCCTCTTTCCCACACAAATGTAAACATGAGATGTCATTACTAGAGCTAGTTGAGCCAACTGCGAATAAGTACATGTTAGATAAAAAAACAGAGACAACGATCGCATCATGTGAAAGCTAAGCGAAGATTAAGCTAGCACAGGCTCCTAATGGAAAGGGACCGCACAACGGTCAGACCATGGCAGAAATGCCTTGGACTCATACCGACCTTCCCACGAAACCGGTCCAAATGAACTGGCCTGTTCGGACTACTATTTCGTCATCTAGCTAGCCACTCCTACACAAGTTCCACATGAGGCCAACCCGTAGACCGTAGTAGACCAGTAGTGGACCAACACTGTACAAGTAGTAGTAGTACTGCATTTTTTGACCAAGAGACAAATTTTAGAGTTGGACGACTGACGCACATCCACGAGTGCGCCCAACGCACGCCCATGAGAATGAGATACCTATCGTATTCGTATGTGCATTTAACATGAATACTGTAGTTCCGGACCATATACTGTCTGTGCGTCTCGAGTACCGGCAAGTAAGAAACCGCATGACGGTCAGCTGGTGGTCACCTGCGAAATTTACTACCTGAAGTGGACGCGCCGGCCATTGCGCCGGCACCTTTTCCAGCCTGCATCGCGGGTGCATGCGTCCATGGAATTTGGTCCATGGTGCAGCGAAAGAACACTAGCTAGTAATTATCTGGACCATATGTACTATACTTACGTCCGAATTAATGGGAGAAGGGGGCGGCTCGTGTTATCATCTTGGCTAACTAGCTCTACTGAACAGTTGTTGATTTTGAAAATGAGGATGAGATGACACCTGACCCATGGATTAAACGGCCACACGTGTGTGCATGTCTTCGTCTAAGAAATACTATGATAAGGCCCGATCGAACTGACCCATATGCAATCATGCAGGCTCACACTGAGGGAATATGCAGCAAAATTTCTTGCGCCAATAATGCAGATCGTCGCTGTTGGCCGAATAAATTTGTTTATGTCGAATACGCTGTACCAAACTGGTAATCAAATCGATGTGAGAACGTTCCATGCTAAGCGTTCGAATAGTATTCGTTTGTGGGGTATCCTTTCTCCAGGGCAATGATTGCCAACATGTCCGCTAGTATTGTCTCTATGGACGAGTTAGGCACAAATTTTGGAGGTTTTAGCCACGGGCGCCCGTGGCTCCACAACCTCTGCCGGCTATATATATGTCCAGGGCTGGTATTGTTCTCTTGCAAGCCACGGCCAAACCAAAGAAAAGTGTGAGGCAGAGGCACCACTTAACATTGTGGTATATTACACTAGCTAGTCGCTAGAGTAGTAGCGATGGCCTCTGCCTCTTGCCTTGGCTTAGTGGTGCTCGTGGCAATGGCCTCGGCGGCGTCGGCGCAGCTGTCGTCGACGTTCTACGACACGTCTTGCCCCAACGCGCTGGCCACCATCAAGGCCGGCGTGACGGCCGCCGTGCAAAACGAGGCCCGCATGGGGGCGTCGCTGGTGCGGCTGCACTTCCACGACTGCTTCGTCGATGCAAGTCCCATAACCTTACTCAGTTGCGAGTATTAGACAGTCACGCTGTAAAAAAAACTGTCAAATGATAGTGTTTCTGAATTTGTTTCCAGGGATGTGACGGGTCCGTTCTATTGGCGGACACGGGGAGCTTCATCGGCGAGCAGGGGGCAGCCCCGAACAACAATTCCATTCGAGGCATGAACGTCATCGACAACATCAAGACCCAGGTGGAGGCCGTGTGCAAGCAGACCGTCTCCTGCGCCGACATCCTCGCCGTCGCTGCCCGTGACTCCGTCGTCGCGGTAAGCTTGGCAATTACAGCTCTCATGCATGTCTTGCACATGCTATTGCTAGTACTACTACTTTCTTAAACTGTGGTTTGGAACTAATTCTGGGCATACCAAGCAGCTGGGTGGGCCGAAATGGACAGTTCTTCTCGGGAGGAGGGACTCCACCACTGCAAGCAAGACTAACGCGGAAAATGACCTGCCACCTCCTACCTTCGACCTCCAAAACCTCACCACCTTGTTCGGCAACAAGCAGCTCAGCATGACAGACATGGTCGCGCTCTCAGGTACACACTGCTAATATGCTTTTTCTCATCTCAAACTTTACGACAAAGACTAGCAAGAGCTATTCTGACAGGATCTACGAGAAATATGCCGTGACCTTGTTCTGTGATCTCGATCTATCTGCAGGCGCCCACACGATCGGGCAATCGCAGTGCCGGTTCTTCAGGGACAGGATCTACAACGAGACCAACATCGACACTGCCTTCGCGACATCTCTCAGAGCCAACTGCCCCCGGTCCGGCGGCGATAACAGCCTGGCGCCGCTGGACACTGGCACGCCCAACGGGTTCGACAACGCCTACTACACCAACCTCATGTCCCAAAAGGGGCTGCTGCACTCGGACCAGGTGCTGTTCAACGGAGGCGGCGCCGACAACACGGTCAGGAGCTTCTCGTCCAGCGCCGCGACGTTCAACAGCGCCTTCACGACGGCCATGATAAACATGGGGAACATCGCGCCCAAGACAGGGACGCAGGGGCAGATCAGGCTCGTCTGCTCCAAGGTCAACTCGTAATCTCCTCGCCGACACTCTTCTGCTACGCATGAACTAAATAAGGTCTTGGAGGCCAGTACCAGCACCTACGGAGTATCGTGTATGGGGTGGGTGAAAATTGTACCTGTGCATGCGTGCGTCTGTCCACATGTGTAACGAATTCTCGTGCAAAGGCATGGAGGATTCCTTTCGTTTATCTCAGTATGTCATACTGCGAGATGATAACCTTCACTCGACGTCCCTGATATCCGTGCAAATGTCATCACGGACGGACTGCCCACTAGACCTGGCGTGGACAGCCCAGCCCGAAAAACCCAGGCCGGGTCAGGCTTGGCATTCAGGCTGGTCTTGGGCATCATTTTACAGCCCGGATGCTAGATCGGGCTGGGTTCGGGCTTCTCTTTTCTGTGATTTTGGGCTGGGCTTGCATGTGGAGGATAAAAACTGTCGTTCAGGCCAGGCTTTCGTGCTTCGGGCCTATGTGCAGGCCAGTCTTGGGCCTGGACAAGGATTTATTTTCAGGCTTCAGGCCATGCTTGGGCTTGGAGTTTGAAGGTCAGGCTTTTGCAAGCTGGGCCAAAAACCTGGCCCGGCCCGACCAATGATCAAGTTTACTGCCCATTATAAATGAGGATCGTCTCTACTAATGGGCGACACTATATGGCCTGTAATTGGTAAGACATCATGAGTCAAGCAAGTGTAAATTGGCTCGTGAGCCCAAATCTTTATGAGTTCTTTTGGCACAAAATCACATAGTGCAAATTGCTTAAAACATAAGTGTAAATTGCAGCACATTGCACTCTATTCCAATGTAACAATAAAAACACCATTTCCATCAAAATATAAAAAAATCGCATTATACATTTATAGATCGCCATCAATCTCATTAATCCCTTCGAGGGTTTTGAAGTAAATGTGTACAACCCCGGCGGTCTATAGGTCCATGTGAATATTTATCCATGCCTAGGTCACGTGTATGCCGGCCGAGATTCAGGGAGGAGGCGCTGGAGGCGGCAAGTCCTATCTGGATCCAGGGACGCTGGCACATCTGCTTGTCAGGACATGGGGGAGCCTAACGTACTAGCAATGAAGAACCGATTAGGAGGCCTCCGCGGGGAGAGGGAGGACCCATGAAGGAGGAGATGGGTCATGGAGGGAAATTAAGGTGGGGTGTGGTGGTGCAAGAGAGGTGCACTTAGGAGGGAAAGGTGGGGGTGTGGTGGTAAAAGAGAGGTGCACTTAGGAGGGAAAGGCGGGGGTGTGGTGGTGAAGGAGGCAACAACAAGGTGTGAAAGTGCCAGAGAAGAGGAGGGCTACACCACTGCCACCCGAGGTGCAAGAATGGTGAAAGTGCAACTATCACTAGGTGGTTTTGGTAATTCATAACAACATATAGCTCATTGAGCTAATGCTATTCCAAGACTATTATTTCAGGAAAGCTCAATGAATGGCATGGCATGGATGATGAAAGTTGATCCCTCAAAATACTAAGGACAAAGGATTGGCTCAAGCTCAAAAGCTCAAGACTCTTCATTTTACATTTTAGTGATCCAAGATCACATTGAGTCTATAGGAAAAGCCAATACTATCAAGAAGGGATGAGGTGTTGCTTAATGAGCCTCTTGCTTCATGTGCTTAGTGATATGCTCCAAAACCCTCAACTACTTTCCCACATCCACAAATGACCTAAACCTAAAGCCAAAATTGGTCACACCGATTCTTTCTATCCGGCGCCACCGATTCCAAAAGTCATAGCCACTGCCACAAACCCTAAGCAAATCGGTCTTACCGATAGGGATCTCGGTCTCACCAAGATGGGGTTGCAATCTCTTTGTTTCCCTTCGTAACGTTTCGGTCTAACCGAAGTGAGCGATCGGTCCCACCGAGACTACAATGTAAACTCTCTGTTTCCTTTTTGTAACATTCCGGTCTCACCGAAAAGAGCAAATCGGTCCCACAGAGTTTACCTGACCAACTCTCTGGAAAGCTTATTACCAAATCAGTCTCACTGAGTTTGTGTAATCGGTCTCACCGAGATTACGTTATGCCCTAACCCTAACCGAATCGGCCTCACCGAGATGCATGTCAGTCCCACCAAAAATCACTAATGGTCACTAGGTTTACTAAATCGGTCCGGCCGAGTTTAACGATTTGATCCAACCGAGTTTGGTAAATTGTGTGTAACGGTTAGATTTTGTGTGGAGGCTATATATACCCCTCCACCTCCTCTTCATTCATGGAGAGAGCCATCAAAACGAACTACACTTCCAACTTACCATTTCTGAGAGAGAACCACCTACTCATGTGTTGAGGCCAAGATATTCCATTCCTACCATATGAATCTTGATCTCTAGCCTTCCCCAAGTTGCTTTCCACTCAAACCCTCTTTCCACCAGATCCAAATCCTATGAGAGAGAGTTGAGTGTTGGGGAGACTATCATTTGAAGCACAAGAACAAGGAGTTCATCATCAACGCACCATTTGTTACTTCTTGGAGAGTGGTGTCTCCTAGATTGGCTAGGTGTCACTTGGGAGCCTCCGACAAGATTGTGGAGTTGAACCAAGGAGTTTGTAAGGGCAAGGAGATCGCCTACTTCGTGAAGATCTACCGCTAGTGAGGCAAGTCCTTCGTGGGCGACGGCCATGGTGGAATAGACAAGGTTGCTTCTTCGTGGACCCTTCGTGGGTGGAGCCCTCCGTGGACTCGCGCAACCGTTACCCTTCGTGGGTTGAAGTCTCCATCAACGTGGATGTACGATAGCACCACCTATCGGAACCACGCCAAAAACATCCGTGTCTCCAATTGCGTTTGAATCCTCCAAACCCTTCCCTTTACTTTCTTGCAAGTTGCATGCTTTAATTTCCGCTGCCTATACACTCTTTGCATGCTTGCTTGAATTGTGTCATGATTGCTTGACTTGTCCTAAAATAGCTAAAATCTGCCAAACTCTAAAATTGGGAAAAGGTTAAGTTTTTATTGGTCAATTAGTCTAATCACCCCCCCCCCCTCTAGACATACTTCAAGGTCCTACAAGTGGTATCAGAGCATTGGTCTCCATTTGCTTTGATTTCCATAGCTTTTGGTGGTCATAGCCTTGGTTTCACAACCTAGGAGAGTATGGCGTCTAGCGAGGGAAATTATCACCGTAGAGGTCCTTACTTTGATGGTCTTAATTTTGCTAGTTGGAAACATAAGATGAAAATGCATATTCTTGGACATAACCCCGCCGTTTGGGCAATTATTTGTATTGGCTTGCAAGGTGAATTCTTCGATGGAAGAGAACCGAACCGTGAAGCTAATGCGGAAGAATTGAAGATGCTGCAGTACAACGCTCAAGCATGTGACATCATCTTCAACGGATTGTGCCCCAGAGAATTCAACAAAATCAGCCGTCTTGAGAATGCAAAGGAAATTTGGGATACTTTGATTGATATGCATGAAGGTACCCAGTCCGTCAAGGAATCCAAGTTGGATGTGCTCCAAAGTCAGCTTGACAAGTTCAAAATGAAGGATGGTGAAGGTGTCACTGAAATGTACTCTAGGCTTGCTCTTATCACAAATGAGATTGCCGGCTTAGGGAGTGAAGAGATGACCGACAAATTCATCATCAAGAAAATCCTAAAAGCATTGGATGGAAAGTATGATACCATGTGCACATTGATCCAAATGATGCCAAACTACAAAGATCTCAAGCCAACAGAAGTCATTGGAAGGATTGTTGCTCATGAGATGTCACTCAAGGATAAGGATGAACTTCACAACAAGTCAAGTGGTGCTTACAAAGCCTCAAGTGAAGCCCCCACATCATCAAGTGAGAAACCAACCTTCAATGAAGAATTGAGCTTAATGGTGAAGAACTTCAACAAATTCTACAAAAGTAGAAGCAAAGAAAGAAGCTCCAAGTCAAGGTCTTACAATGACAAGAGATCTTCTAGTCGAGAGCGCAATTGCTACAATTGTGGGAGACCCGAACACTACTCCAATGAGTGTACGACACCCTACAAAAGAAGAGAAGATTCTCCAAGAAGAAGGAGCAAAAGAGAAGAATCACCACCAAGAGAGAGGAGGAGTAGAGATGATCATTATGAACGAAGACCCTCACGGAGAAGTAAGGATTTGGAAAGAAAGGACAAGTCATCAAGGAGCTACACAAAACGAAGACATCAAGCTCATGTTGGTGAATGGGTTTCCGGCTCCGACTCCGACAATCACTCCGAGAGAAGCTATCACTCCGACTCCGAATATACTCAAGATGAAGGTGTTGCCGGTCTAGCACTTGTGTCAACCAACTCCTACGACATATTTGACTCACCAAATGAAGGTGTTGGAAGATGCTTCATGGCCAAAGGTCCAAAGGTAACACATCCCGAGTATGTTGATTTTAATAGTGATGAAGATGACTTGCTTGTGGATGATGATTTACTTGTTTACAACTCTAATGATGAATACTATGATGAAACGTCAATTAATCATGCTAATCAAACGAATGACAATGATAAGGAAAAAATTGAGCTTCTAACTAAAGAACTAAACACTCTTAAGTTGGCTCATGAAACTATCTTCGAAGATCATCGAGAACTTTTAAGGGCTCATGAGAAGTTACGCTTTGAAAAGCTCAATCTTGAGCAAGAGCATGAGTTCTTAAAGGCAATCAATGATGATCTCCGCAAGAAAAGTTCTTCTTACATTGCCAAGCGTTTACTCTTATCTACTTACATGCCTCAAGTCAAGTCTAGTAACAAGTACAAGAAAGATATTTCCTCTAGTAGTAACAATAATAATGTCAAATCCAATGTTGTTGCTTCTAGTAGTTCTCTTGATTCTACTAATGATTCTCTTAGCCAAGTTACACTTGAGCAATAAAATAGTTTATTGAAGGGAATTATAGAGAAAGGTGTTTACAAGAGCCTTGCCGGGAGTAAGCAATTCGAGGAAATTGTACGCAAGCAAGGAAGGCACCGGAAGAATCAAGGTGTTGGTTTTGAACGAAAGTTCAACGCCACTGGAGTTGAGTGGGAAG